TTTATATTTACATAATTTATAAATGAATGAGCTTACGAAAGACATAAATATGACCAAAATCTCATTTTATGTCTATACGTATTATGCTTGATCTCTGCGCTTAGCCAACTGAGCCAAAATTATGTATTTATATAATTTTGGACAGCAGTGGAGCTGGAGAAAGTGCGTCACTTGCAGAACGCATAGCACATGCCGCATGTTGCATGCCACATGCCACATGCCACATTTTGTGGCCAGACTGAAGTCGAGTCGTAGTCGTAGCCGTAGTCGTCAACCCCAACGATTTCTGCTGCAGTTGCATTCGCAATTCTTATGCCACATCTACATGCGACATATGCTGCACAATCAACGTGGCACGCTGCATAACAGACAGAGTCAAGCAGGTGGCACAGCTGGAAATGTGCAGTTAAAGCTGCGTTTCGATTCCAAACAAATGAATGAGTAATGCCAAATGAAAGGAAAAACCTCATAGTGGATGATATATGCAAATATATCCATTACAATCAAAACCAATATCAAAACTTGCAGCATGAGCAGTCGCTGAGTCAAGAATGGACTTTAGCTGTAGAGCAAGTAAAACAACTTGTCAATGCAGAAATTTTGATAAGCTTACTTAAGCAAAACTAATATGTAGAGCCCAATGGGGCTCCACCTACTCATGCTGAAAGCCTTTAGTAAAGCAAACCCTCAGTAAATTAATACTAACTTAATACATGTACAAATTCGGGCATTCAATTTCACTTTCAATTTATTTCACTTTTTGTTATAACAATAGATTTTTTGTGTATCTTACAATAATTTAGAGCTTAGACCAAGAATCTTGGGATAAATATGATATTTTTAATTAATTGAGATCATGTATGTGTGGATATAGATATAAATCATGTTTAGAGATGATATTAAGATATCGTCGTTAATTGTGAATTATTTTTCGAGTTTTATTTTGAGCAAATTCTGTTGTTCTTAAATGCATTATTGCTGATATATATTCCATATTTCAGCTCATATATATGTACATATATATTTAGCCATTTCATTTTCTTTGCTA